TGACAGTCTTCTGCGTGGCAGTCCGGGTTTCATTTGTCAGACAAGCGTTTGCTAGCTTAAGGGAGCAGGAAGCAACACCTGTACTGCAAGAATTTACATGGCCTTGCTCTGGGATGGGATTGATTTGGGACGGGTGAAATACAAACACAAACTAATTAAAAACGGCATAATGGAGCCCTACAGGAACACGACGGGAAAACAAATAAATACAAGCGCAGCTGGCGCTACGATTGCGCTTCTGCCCCTGGGCGACCGTCGGGTGACATCAAATTATAAACCCTGAAAACCTTCATTCACACCGTTGCTGTTGATGGTACTGCAGGCATAATGGAAGTGATCTGGTTAATTAAGGGGAAATTTATAAAATATTTACGTGTGTGCACACGCATGCAATCCCCATCCTCCGATTCCGGGACACCCATATCTTGTTACTCTGGATAGATCCACTGAGGTCTAGTCCACTCCTCTACCCTACGTCCCCTGCGATTTTCATGTCTGGATTTTCTAGCGCCTGAGAAGCGCTGTGCTCCGTTCTCCAATGGTCCTCAACACAGGCAGCTCCTGCTGGGCTTGGTCCCGCAGGACTGCCTCCCTGGGCAGGGAATGATCCATGAGTCCTTGCTTTTGAAGTGTTTCCTCCAAGGTTTCCACGAAGTCACTGGCGCAGACTGGAATGCTTATTCCGCAGAACTGACCACATGGCACCCGCCACAATCCCTGCAACTTCCAACCTACAGGGCAACTCGCCAGTGTGCTACTGCTGTGTGTTACTCCTTCGCATTCATCAAAATCTCCAGCTCCGCATATGAACCCTTTCTTGGTGCTGCAAGAGAGAGCAGGAGACCCCGCTTGTGGGGTTCACCGGATTTGATTCACCTGGGACCAATAGATACTTGTCTTAGGATGGCAGCCTGCTGCAGCCTGGACCCTGCTGGGGAAAGGTGCAAAGTCCTAAGGATACTTAACTAGAGCTGTAAACCAGCCTGAGTAAGTTGGTAGAGGCTCCCTGCTGTCCAGGTTAGCCCAGTCTTTAATCAGTCTGAGTAAGTTGGTGGAGGGTCCCTGCTGTCCAGGTTAGCCCAGTCCTTTATGGGAGACCCCCCTCTGCTGTCCTCATCCCTAGAACCCACAATGGTCACTTTGAATAACAGAAGTCTGTCACTGGCATCCTCAGCTCTTCTGCTCCCACAGCACTGAAGCCCACAGGCTGTTCCTAAATGCCTCGAACCCTGGCCTTGCTGGCACAGCATACCCTGGCAACCAGTGCCTGATGATTTTTGAAGAAACAAAATTGTAAACCAGAATGTTGCTAGCTTGATTAATCTCAATTCCAACTAAATAAATCCCTGGGGAAGGAACAGAGAGAGAAAGCAGGGACTGCCCACCAACTATGAAGCCCTGGGAAACAGCACTAAAACCAAACTTTCTTTCCTTTAGAAAAGTATTCCCACTGGGGCTGGAGAAATGACTCAGCAGTTAAGAGCACTGACTGCTCTTCCAGAGGACCTGGGCTCAATTCCCAGTACCCACAGGGAAGCTCACACCTGTCTGAAAATCCAGTTCCAGGGGACCTGACACCTTCACACCAATGCACATAAAATAAAAGATAAATAAATCATAATTTTTTTCAAAAAGAAGTGTCCCCACAGAACAAGTATTCCATCAAGCCTTAAGATCCACTTAAAAACCAACTTGACCCTAAGGTGACTGTGTGTCCTGTCTGCCTTGTCCACAGAGACTCACTTCTGCTGCAGAAGGGTCAACCCAAGGCCAGTTGACCCAGCCAAGAGTTCCAGTCCCCTGCTTTGTGTTTGTCTCAAGGCTCTGTGGCTTCTAGACCTGATCAGGGACCCCACCATATTGTAGAGACTCCTGGGTCTGAATGGCTTCTGCTTACTCTGCCTAACAGCTCAGGGATGACTCCCAGAAGGGACTCTTGCCAGAGCCTTTCATCATTATCATCGACTTAGGGAAGACTCCTTGGGGTTTCCTCAGGAAGAGGATATTCCTGATGAAGGGATCCATGGGTTCTGGTGGGGTGAGCAGGTGAAGTTCAATGACGCCCACAGAAGCCCCCCCCCATTTTGTACTGCTCCATCCTGGGCTCAAGACATGGGGCAAGCAGATGTACCTAATCTGACTTGGACAATTGTTGAGTCCTCCAACAATGGCATTAAAATAAGACCCCTAGAGGATTTCTAGACCTGGAACACTTCTTCCAGCATGCAATAGATGCCATCAACTTCTTGGCCCTAATTTCTCCACTGTATGTCAAATTTGAGGGGAAAGGAACTTCTTAACAACCAAAGACAGAAGCTTCTAGTTTCTGCTTGACATCCCATCCAGCTGGAAGGTCCACACCCTTGCTGCTGCCATGCCCTAAAGGGAAATGATCAGGCGTGCCCAACTGGGTCCTCTTGAATTATCTTGTCGAGTTTCCACTCAGTTCTACTCTTTGGTGCTGGTGACCTACATAGAGCACTGAGAAGCAGCCCTGCTGTGCCCGTGGGCAGAGGACAAAGTACTTTCTGCTCCTTCAAAGCCCCTGGTCCTAGTGGCCCAAGACCTGCAAGTCAGGTGGGGAGCTGTGGGGAGCTATGGCAAGCTGGTGATCCCTCTGTCAGTACTGGCAGGAAGATTTGTTTGGACTGACTTTCCCACCCCAGGCTCTGAGGTCACACCTCAGGTCTTATCTGACCTGTGTTTGCTTGTCATCTGAAATGTGACTCTGGGTTCACAGAGCCAGAACAATGGCCAGATCCTGTCGTCACTACACTTCCCTGCAGGGTTGTGTTTGTGCGCAGAGCATGTGCAAGAGACAGATAGGATTCCCAGATTCAGTTCTGCTTAGCAGGTGACTGATGGACTGGGAACCAGGAGGAAGTCAGGAGTTTCGCAAACTGGAGCCCTGGGCAGTCCCTCATGGTGCCCTCCAGGTCGGGTGGTAATGTGAAGTATGTAGGGACAGATGGGGGAAGACCTAAACCAGAGAGGAGAAATGAAGCCCAATTTCCCAGTGGGTAATTAGTAACTACTTTAACCAGCTGTGTTGTGACTGATTCCAGGCAAGGCTCAGTGTCCGTTCCCAAGACCTGTAAGCAAGGCCTTCCCGATGTTGCAGAAGTTTGGGAATCTGGGTGAGAAGGTGGGCTTTAGCTGGCATCCGGGATCCTGATGGCCCTGGACAGTAGCAGCAGCAGCAGCAGCAGCAGCAGCAGCAGCAGCAGCAGCAGCACAGTAGCAGGTTGGGGCCCATGGCCAGGCTTGTCTAGGTAGCCCTGAATTCCCTAAGGCTGATTCTGAACCTGCAACTGAAGTTCCAGGATGATGTGACACACTGAGGTGTATCCCACCTCTAGACAGCATTGTGCAAACTGACCCTGAGAGTGAAGGCAGGTATCTAGACGTTTTCCGTTCTGCACTTTCAAGACCCATCTAGGAAAGACATCACAGAAGCGTCCTGCTATAGCCGTCCCTCTTGCACGAGAGAGGAAGGTGCTTTCAAAGTCTGCCCCTAGAACCTAGTGGCCAGGCCCCAGGCAGCCCATAACCGCTGCTAGAGCTCTCACATTCGTTTCGTTCTGATTCTTCCAGCCTCTGAGATAGGAACTGGGCAGCGGGAACGAGAGGGGGAGTTCTGGTGGTTGTCCTGCCCAGCGACTGGTCGCAGCTCCTCAGGTATCTGAGCTCCTGACAGGTTTACTCTATGCATCTGCACACCTAGTGGACAAACGTGGGCGCCCAGACCAAGCAGGCTTCTCCAAAGCTGGAAGAGGGTAATTGATGGCTGCGGGCAATATTTGCCAGTCCTTTTACCATGAGAGGTCCGTTCCCTTTCTTCACTCCTTACCCCCTCCCTCTAGGATCCCTCCGCACAGCGACTTCTCAGCTGGCTTGACCATTTTCAAAGTTTTTTTTCCCCCCTCCTATTAGGAGAAGCCTACAGAGCGCGGCCACAACCCGCTTCTCCAAGTGCAACAGAGGATCTGTTGAAAGGAAGTGGGGCCAAGGGGACGATCCACCCTGCATCCGAGATGTCACGCCGCACGTTGATTAATCCGAGCACTTCAGCCAAATATGTCCCATGGAGGTGCGGCAGAGCCAGCCATAGGGGAGAGGTTGTTCGCCACAGACCGTCCCCTGGCCTCAGGCCTCTTTCCCTGCCTTCCCAGATTGCAGAAACGCAGTCCCAGAGTTGCTTTTGTTAAAAGGGGATGGGGGGGGCACAGATCTCAAATGCAAAACCGGGTATCAGACAGCTGTAAACCGGTGTCGACAGGTTGTCAAAAGCCGCGGGGGCTGGTTAGGAAGGAGCCTGCGGCCTCCGGACCCACACCAACAGCCTGGCCTGGCGTACCCACCAGAGGAGGAGGTGGCCCCGCGGGCGCGGGGCACCACGTGCTCGCCGTGAGGGGCGGGAGCGGCCAGAGAGGGCGGGCTGGAGGCAGGGACGGGGCGGGAGGGGAGCCAGGGGCGGGGCCTGTGCTCAAGGGGATGCCAATCAAAGCATCAACTTCAAATTGTGTCTGAGAGCCCCGCCGCCGAGCGGAGGGCGGCCGCCGCAGTCGGCGCGCGATCTCGGATCCGGGCGCAG